TTTGTGAAGTTATTCAAAGTTTTGGTAGAGAAAATAACTGGAAGTTGCATACCAAAATGTCCGACTCAAACATACCAATGTGATTGATAGTTTGTGTATATTTAAATGTATACTTTAAAATAATTTAGACTCACACAATTTGATCTGCAATACCATGAATGCGGCTGCTTTTTATAATTTGCGTAAAATTTATCGCAAAAATAAACTCTGATGAATTTATAGATATTTGTCAGTTAGAAAACAACATGTATTCAGGAAAATTTTGGACCTTGTACCAAATTTCTGTGTTGCGGTTGCATGGAGTATATGATTGATAGAGACCTCTGTTTAATGATTTTTCAGGAAAATGACAAAAGAAAAAACAAAATGAAAGGGGGATGTGAATGGATCAATAAAATTGGTGAAATAAAAATAAAAAAAAACAAAAAACAAAAAAAATAATGTATGTACTGTTGGAAATGGAAATGAAGCTGTAGAATTGATTGATTTCATCATCACCAATGTCCAAATAAATAAATAAATCAAATATTAAAATCAAATAAAATTATACCAGCATTGCATACAAGTATTGATTTTTATTAAATGTATGTATATATATAATTTATTTTGTATTCCTGAAAGGATGTATGTATGTATGTATCAAACATGTATACATATGTCAAATATGATAACATGTGATATCATATATATTAAAAACTAATATTGCATCAAACCAAATCAACTAAAATTCATATATATTTTGGACTTTAGCTAATAATGGGGATTTTAAGACACACTTAAGTGCAAATAAAAATTATTTATTCCTTATTAATACACATGAACCATACTTGATAGGTATATCCACAAACACATGGCAACTTGTGCTATGTAGAAGCATCACATGGTTTTGATGTTTTAGTTATCCATCAACAATTCACACAAATATCCAACTCACAATTGGTTTGGAAGAGGTTTAAAGGCTTCAGAGAAGAACACAAAACACACAAATAAATGATTGTGTTCTTCATCATTGCCAAAAATAATATTTTACTTTCTAAACACTGTATCCAAACTCAACACTTAATAAACTAAATAATTAATTAGTTATGATTCAAAAAAATCATTGCAAAATCAAAAAGTAAAAAATAAATGAAAACAAATAATACCTATTTTAATTTGCCTTTGGGTATTCAATTCATTGTACATATGTTTTTTTCTAAACAATAATGATAATTTATAAGTGAGCTGCAACAATCTTCTCAAACACAGTATACTCTTTCATGCTTGCTTTCTTCTTTTCGTTTTCTCTTGTTGTCCCTCAACTTTCATGTAATTGCATGCATCCACATGTAAACAATCAAAAATCAAAACACAGACCACTTCAGTTACATCAAATAATAATAATAATAATAATAATAATATAACAGTTTCAAATTTTAAAAAGTTAGATTGGGTGAATTATCAGTAGTCTATTTACACACAACGTAAGATAGCTTTGATTCTTCAAGATACGAGTTTGAAGAGTTATTGATTAATTTGGAAGTTACTTTCATAATTAACGATACATTCATTAGTAATTTAATCATTTTATAATCAATCTTTGATGTTATAGAAAAATAGATCCTTGCAACCTCTGTTTTTGAAACCTACTTTTTTCATTCTTGGTATCCATGGAAGTAAAATTTATAACTGTCCCTTCCATTTTCCAAGTTTCTACATTGAAGATGTGATGACATGTTGATTCATCTAATTAACCTTCCAATCCAATTTTGACCAAATACTCTTGATTTGATTTGATTTGATTATACACTTTGTTAGCTAAACAGTAATACACTCTAAAAGCCTCAAATTTATGTTGTAAACAATTGCTTTTTCAGTGAGCATACAAATATGTCTAAATGACAATGTTCAATGAACATAAAATACTTTTTCCTAAACGAAAATTACAATGTACTTAAATTTCATCACAGCGAATAAAAATAGTGTATCATTTCTTGCAATTTCACCGATTTTCATGTACTTCATCAACTACATAGTCCAGCGGTCATCCCATGTATGATTTAAGTTTATTGTGTTCCGAACTGTCACTAACAGTAGAATAATTTTTATTTTATGTCGTACAAGTTTATGATTTCACTGGTTCTCGATATTTAAAACTTAGCATATGTCTGCACCCATGTATTTTCAATGCAGTATTAAAAAACAGAAACAGATATAACTGTACACATGATGCATTTTTTGGTTGTAACATTGTTTTTTAATAGGTAAATCATCAGTCGCATATTCATCCACCCTGTACTTGTATAATTGAGTGCGATTTATTATTAGTGTTGTTTATTCTAGATTTGTGGGAATGACATATTAATGGATATCGCATCTGCTGTGGAAGACCCTTGTACATTGCTATCATTCATCCACGCATGTCATCCAACTCACAGCATCTGAACCCATTTCATGGATGAAAAATATTGTGAACAAATTATAAAATAAATAAAGATGAATACAGGAAGGATAGAAAGAGGATTAGAGAGATGAGTCATGGGCACTCTGAAAAAGAAGATAATGATCATCCTCATCAGCATTCGAGTGTCCACCTCAGCAGCCCCATCCTCGTTCCACTGTCCACCTCAGCAGCCCCATCCTCGTTCCACTGTCCACCTCAGCAGCCCCCATCATTCCGATCACTGCTCTTACCATTTTTACCCCAATGAATGTTGGGATTCGTGAGATATATAGTTTTAAAGGGGAGAAAATCAAAATAAACCTAAACATAAGTATTAATAACATTAATATCAATAAAAGGAGGGAGGGGGGAGATTTCCCCATCCAAACTCCATACATCCCCTTTCTTCTCTAATCAAGGAAGAAGGGTCACACCTTACCCTACAACCCGAATCCTCTAATGGCATCTTATTTAGTATCTCCCCACCCCCTATTTGCATAGATACTTATTTTTTATTATCCCCCCCCCTTTTGTTTTTAAGAAGTGCCACTCATCCCCATTCTATTCCATTCTATTTCATTCCTCACACATCATGTGTCCAATGGGTGAGGCAGAATGATACAACAACTACTACTACTTGCTGAGCACTAGTTAGTGGTGATCATTGTGTGGCTCCTCCTTCAACTCCAACTCCAGCTGGAGGAGGATACTCTCTCTACTTCTGGAGGCACTGCTATATTTTGTCCATGGCCATGCCTTGTCCCTTACCCCTTTTCCCCTTCATTCTTCCATTTCCAAACTAGGTCTACAATTGGAGACTTATCCTCCTCCTTAACCGCACCTGTTGTACACCTGTCTCCAACACATACTCATATATATATATATATATATATATATATCAGGAAATAGGAGTTCAGCCATCCTATTACCTTGTACATTAGAAGTGTACTTCGATTGAGATCTAGTTAACCAATTTTATCTGGGTTTGCCTTCCTAAACTGATCATAAAGTTTTGTGTGTGCGTACAGGCATGCACAACAAAACAAAAAAACAGTTAATGTAATTCTTTATTGAAAAAAAATGCAGACTGTATAGGATGTACTACACTTCAAACAATCTGTACATTGTACATGAAAAAGGTATTATAAGTAACAAGAATGCTTCTTTGACTATTTGTATTGTAACTGTATATTCTACACAGTGATTTGTGACTCTTGTGTAGTGATGCTCAGTAAATCCATTGCAAACTTAACAAATAAACTATTGCTGGTGTTCAATGGATACCTGGATGCTGTGAAGTACTGACAGCATCCATATCCAGATCGACGAACAGGTGAAGAAATATGCAGTGAGTAATAATTAAACCCACAATTAAACACTGATTTGGGTAGTTTTCAGTACTTGCCTTCTTCAGGTAGTTTTAGGTCATTTCAGACAAATTCGACCACAACTTGGATTTGCGCCACATACATAATTTGTCCTTTCTGTCATTCATGTCCATGTTGGATGGGGAGAGTTGAGTCCACATCTATATCCTCTAGTCCAACTAAAAGACGGTAAAGTAAAACTATTAAAAGGAAAGAAACAAAATTTACCTACCACAAATAGAAGCACCCTGTCGAAGGAGCCTTTTTCCAATAAAGTATCCACAAGCGCCATCCCAAGAGACAAAACAATCACGCACCAGAAATTGCTATATGAAAGGCAAAAAAAAAAAGGGGGAGGGAAGAGGACAAAGGCAGGGGCGGGGGGGAGATAAAAACAAAAACAAAAGGAAATAGTTGGGAATCAGACCCAATTAGGAATACGGGTTCTATATTCCAGCATTTTGGCATGAGGGATGGGAGCTGACTCGTCGTTGCGAGCACACACACACTGCATTATTCTGCGGAGAACATGCTGTGAACACACAAAGTATTGGACCTCCAGGTATAGCAACAACTGCTGCCACATCCATTTCAGGAGCTCCGGGAGGGAAGGGAAGAGTTGTAGAAACCCGCGAGCCCATAATTCCACCACTCATTTGCATCGCAGCGGGTCCCAGACGCCGTGGGTCCCGGCCACGACAAGCGAACCAGGAAGCGAAAGCTCGAGCATGCCGGCGAGCACTAATAATATCCTGAAGTGAGAGCTCGGATGCGATGCGATGCGAGGAATAAGAGAAGGAGCAGGTGGCTTCAGATTTAGTTAGGGTTTTAATTTGGGGGGAGGTGGGCTAATACTGGAGGTCGAGCAAAAGCTAAAAAAGCCAAAAGCGACGAAGGAAAGTAACAGAAAACGTAAAAGGAAGGGAAGGTAGGGGACACTCCTACGCAAGTGTTTGGGGGGGAGACCGTCCAACCATCGCACCACCCACGATCCGGCATCGTGTTGGATGATGACACCAAATAGACCCCATTCACACTGGCAAATTCCTCGACCCCAATCATCGCCATCGCATGCTCGTCACGACCAGATTGGCCCAACCCGGTCCCGCCGTTTCCGCGGGTCGGGTCGGGTCGGGCTGGGTCGGGCTGGGGTTTGCTACAGGTCGCACGCCCGACCTTAGCCCGGGATCGAACGCCTATAGGTTTAATCCTCAGGTCACCTAGTAGCCCAATTATCCGGGACAGTGAGTGAGAGAGTGAGTGAGTGATATAGGTTCGGAATCCAGGGTGTGCTTTTGTGTTGCGTATGGTGTTGGGTCAAGCATTTGGTCTACATCGGGGTGAGCTTTGCGTGGGGTGTGTTGAAGTTGCTGAGTGAACTGGACGTGGAGGAGGAGGAGGACGGGGAAGGCGGGTTGTTGCTTTGTAAGGGTTGTGGATGTGCGTTTGCTGAGACATGGATAAGGTTGAGCTGTGAAGAAGAAGTTAAAGTGTTGGTGGTAGGGATCGCGTTGGTGGTAGTAGTGGTGGTGCGTGTTGCAAAATCGTCGGGATTGTGGTGGATGGCGATGGGTACCATGGTGGACGGGTGCGATAGGCCTCGTGAAGAGGCGCACAGAATGAGAGCCATAGCGAGCTCCGGAGCGAGTCTCGGGCTGGGCGTGGAGTTTTCGATGGTGCGCGGTGGTGATGGTGTCGGGCCGCGCTCGTGCCCGGTGCAGTTGGATCTGCTACCTTTGAGGCCGTCGTCGCAGTCGAATTCGAACTCGCAGGCGACGGCTCCGTCCGTGCCTTCGTCGACTTCGTACCGGGGTTTGGCGTGGCAGGCGCTGGTCGGTTCCACGACGAACTCCGGGAGCGGGAATGATGATGGAGAGGTGACGACGTATGCGAGTGGGGGACGGGGTGGGTCGCCGAGAGGTGGCATAGACGTGAACCAGATCCCGTCGACGGATGGGGAGGAGGAGGAAGAGGCGGCGGTGTCGTCGCCGAGCAGCATCGGGATGAAGCGGGGGCGTGAGAAGAGTGGGCAGGAGTTCGAAGTGGAGAGGGAGAGGAATACAACGTGCGAGATGAGCTCGCGGGGGGGAAGCGACGATGAGGACGAAGGGACGACGCGGAAGAAGCTGCGACTGTCGAAGGAACAGTCGGCACTGCTGGAGGAGAGTTTCAAGGAGCACAGTACGCTGAACCCGAAGCAGAAGAACGCTCTGGCGAAGCAGCTGGGTCTTCGGCCGCGGCAGGTGGAAGTGTGGTTCCAGAACAGGAGGGCTCGGACAAAGCTGAAACAGACCGAAGTGGACTGCGAGTTGCTTAAGCGGTGTTACGAGTCGCTGAAGGAGGAGAACAGGAGGTTGCAGAAAGAGTTGCTGGAGTTGCGAGCCATCAAGGTGGCGCCTCCATGTGTGATATCGCACGATTACTACATGCCTCTGCCCGCGGCGACGCTGACGATGTGTCCGTCATGCGAGAGAGTGGCGACGGTGGACAACAGGTCGTTGACGTTTGCGAAGCCAGGGTTTTCACATTTGTCGCAATCAAGCGCAGCATGTTAGTGAGAGGGAGGCAGGTTTAGATGAGTTATTTTTAATTTATATTTTATTTTTTGGGTTAGAGGTTAATTTCCACGGGCACCTTCCATTGAAGAGGCGCGCCTCGTGTTGTTCTATACAATTAACGGTCAGCCATTCTCACATAGTTCTAGAACAATTTTTGCTTGTTGATCTTATGTACAGATCTTTTTGTACAGTCCCGCCATGAGCTGATGTCTGTACAATTCATTCGAAAGAAAATATTTTGCACTCTCTCTTAGTTTCTCTCCTGGTTACTGCAATGGCAGGCAAGTATTCTGCATAATGGATGGATGAAGAGAATAAATAACTCCCACAAATGGGCTCCGGAAGGGAAAAATACCATGAGTATTGACCATGAAGATATAGTCCGCTAGTACTCGAACCACCATTATTAGTACCAAGCATCCACTGACTGGCAACGCGAGACAAACCCTGCTACACCATTTGAATGCCAAAATTAATATGGGATGTGTGGCGCCCGCGTCCACAGCTCTGACTCTCTGCACAATTGTCCCTACCCTTGAATTGCGAATGCAACATTTTCATCCTGACGATCATATTGACACTTTCATAGTACAACAGAAGAGAGAGAACGCAGCATGTCAGTCTTTGTGGGGGGTCGTGATACAGGTTGTGTGTGTGGGGGCGTGTCAGGTTTGACAACATTGTAGCTTAGTTTTTTCGCTTGGTTTCGTGCCCTGCTAAGGTTGTTGGACTGGTGTTGTCACTGATTGTGATATTATGTGATGCACTGTATGATAGAATCCCTTGATTGATTGCATGTAGGCAGGGGCTGGTCATGCCAGGGTGGTTGTTGGGACATGATTGATCCACTGCTCTTGTCTACTTTGAATGGCTGTACTGGGGACATGGTATTCAGTTGGACCTGGTCTTGCTTGCCATGTGCCACTGGCTTACTCCAACACCCACCCCTCAGTGCTTTTATGCCTTGGATACTCCTTCAGAATATATTGCAAGAGCTCCCTCTCCTTGGACTTTTTAATCAAGCTTACAAAATGCATATACATGTATGTAAATTTAACAAAAAATAGTAATATTAATAAAAAAATATTTCAGCTGCAGGTCATTGGACATTGGATGTGAAAGAAATGCCAGCTTATGAGTAGGGAATGCACAGGAGAGCAAAGAATTTGGACAGTTGTGTGGAGACAGTGAGTGCCTTGATTATACCCACACCAGTGTGACTGTCTAGGTGCCCACCTCACCACCATATTCCTCCTCTACTCTTGTTCTGGAGCTCTTGTACAATCACCATATTCCTCATATCCATATTGAAAAGGGGTTCCACATCCAAAGTCATCCTTGCCTCTAACTAGGGCTCAGCATATTTGTTCATGTGTGGGTGCTGGCCTGATGTCAAACAAGCTCCTCTTGATTGGCACTCAACCCTTCAATTCTGTCCCCTGTTTGATTATGTCTGCATTCCTCTCAGCTCTCTACTAGGCTTACCCTGGTTCCACAAATTCAAGGATACATTAGAATAAGATGCAGTATTTGGACTTTTTATTCTTTTTTCTTTCTCTTTTTGCTGTTGCTGTGGTGGTGGGAGATTGTGTGTTATGATTAGAACACACTACCCAACACAGCCAGTGAGGAAAAGACTAAATTTCAACTGTTGTTTCTATGCAAGATTTAAGTACCAAAGAACCTTGTAGTCTTGTGTTTAGGGCTATTAAAGTACAATTGATCACTACGTTTTTAACAATTATAAAAATTTGATTATTTATTTATAAGCTTACCCCAAACAATAGAAGAAGATTTTGATGTTATACACAAGTTCATATTTTATTATTAAAGATCAAATGGTTGAATGATTAACTGAAAATTGCAACATCCATGATTGATGCAATTTAGGGTTGGCTAAATAACCATTCACAATTCCAACTTTCATAGTCAACTGAATATAATAAATTAGTTTTATTTTGTCAAGTTATATTTTTTTACTTTTTATATGAAATGATTGGTATTCATTCTAAAACCAAGTGGCCTACGTCAAATCATCAAATATATCATAAAAGAATACTAAATAATTTATTTTAATAACATTATCATTCATCAATCATTATACAAATGTTGTTTACAAGTTCTTGATTGAAGAGTATCCAAGTATGTTGAACAAGACACAAGGCTACTCAACAGTACAAGATGATAAACTATCCAGTTACTTCACTTTAAAATAATTGAAATGGCAAAGCTGGGCCACATTGCAATGTATGAGTACAAAACAAGTAGCCACTGTGTCATAGAGACAACCAAATGGTGTGGAACATTGGCCACTTCAAAATGAATGCTCTTTTGAATGTCCAACCCTATTATCTCCATGCATTTCAAACACAACAAAAACCACCAAGTATAGTAAAAACAGTATTCTTGTTTTCTTATAATCTACAATCATATTGCATGCATTGAAGTAACCAAACATTATTTTGAACATGACAATGACTAAATAAAGATAATTATACATTCATGCACATAGAGACAACAAAATTGTATATACAATTTTCTCAGAATACACCATAATCCAAACATGATCATGGCAAGGTTTGGTCAACTCCATAGACCAAGTTGCACGATGTTGGTCAGACTTGTGAATTAGTCGGGAACATTCTGGGTTGTCGATGTTTGCACCTTCTCTCCCCGAGACTGATGCCTGACCCACCTCAGCCACCCACCAACCTGCCCGAGCTGTTCACAAGGACTTGCCACTGCAGTCAACAATTATATAGAAAGAAAGAAGGAAAAAAAAAAAAAAAAACAAAAACAAAATAAAAAGGGAAACACAATGAAAAGTATGGCTGCCATCAAGATAGGCTTTCCCTCCTCCCTCATGAGTGCGGACTTGGCCATGCTGACGTGGGTATATGGGAATTTGTGTTTTTGGAGAGTCCGGAACCTTCACATTATCTCCCAAATTGAGCTATGCTGTTGAGTGGCATTAACCAAGTCTTTTGGTTGAAAGGCTTCTTTGGTGTCATCCTTACATTCCACAACCATTTTACGTCTTGTTTGGTGAAATCTCGTCATAGTTAATTCTATAAAAATTCTATCTCAAATATGCCTTGAAATCTTGTGGTTCAAACCTTTTGTATACATGTTATAAATCATCAATTTTATGATGAATAATTTTTTCTTGCATCCATTGCTATTCATACACACACACATATATATATATGTACACACACACATGAATGAATGAAGACACATTCATTGATACATGGAAATGTTAAAAAGAGACAAGAAAAAATGTTCACAAACAAGAAAAAAACATGTTGTGTTAAAGTAAGTGCATGAAAAGCTTTTGCATTAATTTTATTTAATATCAATTAAATAGTATGAAAAATAAAAAATGTGTAAACAATATTGCAAAAACATTGACAGTCAAACTTATCCACCAATAATGTTATTTTTCAGACAATTTATTATTATTAAAAAAGATTAAATGAAAAATACTTTCATTAATGAATTGTGCATGCTATATGTATAACTGTAATCATGTAAGACTTGTTTATAAGCTTTGTATTTTTACTACTGTTAACACTTTGTCATGAAAAGCAACTTCTGTGCTAAGGTAGTTTTATATAAACTGCAATCAATATCATGGCCATTATACAATTTAAGAGTATTGTAATTTTAAACAGAGAAAAGCTACAGTAACCAATACATATCAGTAAACCAATTGAATGCTTGTATCGTTGAAAAATTAATTTAAAGTCAGAACAATGATTTCAAAGTTTGTAATTTTTTGCTTTACAAGATAGATGAATAGAAGGGAATATATATATATATATATATAGACATGACTTTGTATTTTATACCGCTTTGGTTCAATGACACATGACTACTACCTCATTTACAACAATTCGATTGATATATATATATATATATATACATACATATATGTTTTTGTGCTTTTGCATGTGAATATATCTAGATAGATATATGTATATATAAGCACATCAGTATGTATGTGTGTTAATCCAAGAGTTTATTAAATTTGTTAACAATCAATTACTGCATATAGTCTTACAATCGTATATAAAGGATTGAATGAAATTTCAACACTAAAGTACTAATGCTTTGACAACATTATTGTTAATTGAATAATTTTGTATAAAATTGAGGTGTCCAGTCCACAAAAGATTGGTTTAGTTGGGAAGTATAGTAAGTATCTTTGAAGACCCATTGAGCATCTTTATGAGAAATGTTTTCTAAAAATAAAACCTGGTGTTAGTTTCTTTATTGTTTCTGAATAGTGTTAGAAATGTCATTCAAAACTTGTTTTACCATATTTTATTTTTAAAAATAAAAATAAAAATAAAAAACAAATCAAATTATTCAACAATCAGGAAACATAACAAAGTTCGAAATAGTTTACAGTGAAGCTCAGTTTAATTATCCACAGAAAGTCTTTGTGTGTATTAGAGTGCTTAAAGTTGCTTTGAATTCTTTGAAACAAGTAACAAAATCTCCTCTTAAATCATTTTGGAATCACATTCATCAGGCTTTCCTCTCTTTATTTTCTATGAAACTTAAGCATGAAAAACTGTGTGCATTGTGATTTTTGATTTTTATACGTTTCAACAATTGTAATATTAATAATTACTGTTCTTATATAAATGAAAGAAAACCCAAATAATCGATTTACAATCACAAACATGGTTAAGCAACAACAATTAAATCAATTACACTCTATAATTTATTTATTTTATTTCTTCTTGAAAATGATTATCAAAATTTGGTGTTTTGTAAACTTTCCAAATTATTTTTCATTGCATGAGAGTTTCTGGTAGCATGAATATACAGTTTTTGGTAGTATACATGGTACTTTTTGTATAACTTTGTACATCTTTATCCTATTAATATTAAATTTACTCCTCAGATAAAATTTTATTTACTATATATATATATATATATATATATATATATGTGTGTGTGTGTGTAAATGAAAATTTCATTTCATGGTTTAATTACAATGAACATCTCAGGTGCAGTTGACCAGGAACTATCATCCAGAATGTATCATCCATTCGTTCAATTCAGCGCTGCGGGGTTAACTTCGCCGCGCCCCAGAAGGCCAAGAGCTACGACCACCTTTGGCGCCATGAGCTACGAGAGCTACGAGGTTCGCAACAACGAAGGAATGACATAATCTACAGCAGCGCTGCTGCCGTAGATGCTTTTTTTCCCTCACGGTACTCGACGACTTTTCCCCAGCTCTTTCGCAGGGGATCTCGATTCTAGGGTTTGTCTTTCATATCCCTCTCTCTCCAGTATTGGAATCACAAACCTTCACCCACCGAGTGCTAATTGGGTTAAAATGTCACCCCACTCCGGCCAATCTCTCCTTGTACACGGAAAAGGTAAAGACCTACTGTACCTATGATGAGCCAATACTATCTGAAGCAGATTGGTGGTATCCCCCACACTGTGTCGACGTGTAGGGACTCAGACCTGCGCGATTCATGTAACCCTTTTCCGGTACGAGAAGTATCTGGTAACTAACATGGCAGTAGAAGTTTCCGGAGGAATGGATACTTCGACTTATGACAGATTTAGGTGAAGAGGGGTGAAGTGCAGAATTTCAATCTCATTTGAGACCACGACTTGGCGCACTTGGGACAGAAGAGATGCTACGAGAACGATCTCAATTGTAGAAATTATGAACGATTTTTGTTCATGCAACCAAGCCACTAATTTTGGCATCGGGTAGGTTGTTTGTATCAAAGAAAACGACGTAAATAAAACATGAATCATTTTAATCCAAGAACAAGCGACCCAGGAAGATGAACACATCGGTGGTATGTGAAAGAAAAGGAGTAAAGAGTTCTCGTTCTCCTCAATGAGTCGTTAAGAAAGAGCACTGTAAACTGTACTTTAAGGTCCGCCTTGGGTAGAGAAAGATAAGGAAACATCGCTGCCCATGAGAGCTCGTTTGCAAAAAGGAGGCTAGACAAAAAATACTGGTACAACACAAGACGCGCCTCTTCAATGGAAGGTGCCCGTGGAAATTAACCTCTAACCCAAAAAATAAAATATAAATTAAAAATAACTCATCTAAACCTGCCTCCTTCTCTCACTAACATGCTGCGCTTGATTGCGACAAATGTGAAAACCCTGGCTTCGCAAACGTCAACGACCTGTTGTCCACCGTCGCCACTCTCTCGCATGACGGACACATCGTCAGCGTCGCCGCGGGCAGAGGCATGTAGTAATCGTGCGATATCACACATGGAGGCGCCACCTTGATGGCTCGCAACTCCAGCAACTCTTTCTGCAACCTCCTGTTCTCCTCCTTCAGCGAATCGCAGCATCGCTTAAGCAACTCGCAGTCCACTTCGGTCTGTTTCAGCTTTGTCCGAGCCCTCCTGTTCTGGAACCACACTTCCACCTGCCGCGGCCGGAGACCCAGCTGCTTCGCCAGAGCGTTCTTCTGCTTCGGGTTCAGCGTACTGTGCTCCTTGAAACTCTCCTCCAGCAGTGCCGACTGTTCCTTCGACAGTCGCAGCTTCTTCCGCGTCGTCCCTTCGTCCTCATCGTCGCTTCCCCCCCGCGAGCTCATCTCGCACGTTGTATTCCTCTCCCTCTCCACTTCGAACTCCTGCCCACTCTTCTCACGCCCCCGCTTCATCCCGATGCTGCTCGGCGACGACACCGCCGCCTCTTCCTCCTCCTCCCCATCCGTCGACGGGATCTGGTTCACGTCTATGCCACCTCTCGGCGACCCACCCCGTCCCCCACTCGCATACGTCGTCACCTCTCCATCATCATTCCCGCTCCCGGAGTTCGTCGTGGAACCGACCAGCGCCTGCCACGCCAAACCCCGGTACGAAGTCGACGAAGGCACGGACGGAGCCGTCGCCTGCGAGTTCGAATTCGACTGCGACGACGGCCTCAAAGGTAGCAGATCCAACTGCACCGGGCACGAGCGCGGCCCGACACCATCACCACCGCGCACCATCGAAAACTCCACGCCCAGCCCGAGACTCGCTCCGGAGCTCGCCATGGCTCTCATTCTGTGCGCCTCTTCACGAGGCCTATCGCACCCGTCCACCATCATCGCCATTACTATCTACAACCTCGTCAATCAACACCACACACACCTCACGAACTCTTTTCCCTCTCAAACTACCTCTTCACAGCGCCACCTCCTCCATGTCACAAAGAGCGCACATCCACAACCCGCCTGTCCAATCTCGTAACCTTGCGACCCCTCCTCCTCACACTCACGAGGCCACACACACACCACTAGTGGAATTCCCAACAAGAGTACCCACCCAGTGAGAAGAACAATCGCAATTGGACTGCGGGGGTAGAAGTGAGAGAACATGGATCAGCAATGGTGGTCACAATTGATGGGAAAAAAGGCTTTTTCAGGGTAGAGGGGGAATGTCTGAGGCACTGGCTAGACGGGGGGGTGCAGCAGAAGGGAATTAAGACAGACCGGGACCGGGAAGAGCGGTGCGGTCCCAAGTCCAAAAAACCTTCCATTCAGCGGGCGCGTCGGGCGCGGGTTTGGCCAAACCAGGAGCTGGCTTAGCAGATGATTGGGGGGCCGCCAGGAGCCACGATGGAGGAGCGTGGCCTGGCCTTCGCAGGGGCGCTAGCCCGTCCTCCGGGCGGCGTCCCCCTTACACCCACCCGAATTTGGTTGTCACGCCGTCCCAACGCCAGTGTTGAGCGACGCATTATTGGCATCGACGCATTAGCCTTCCTCTTTACGCTGGGTGGAGCTGTCCTAAATTTGTCGCGTCGTTGCTTACTGGCTCCCAGAGAAGGCTCCCTTTTTACCCTCTAGTGCTCAGAATGTGGAGCTTGATTTGGACAGTATATAAAATCTGTGTTGGGCAGGAATGATTTGCAAATCCGCCTGTGCCCTCACAGTGCGGACGCCTGCCACGCTGTGGGAGGAGGGAATGATGCCATACCCACCCCATCCGACTCTCCCCCTTTACCCTCCCTCCCTGGCTCCTCCACTGCCCCTGTACTCCGCTGCGCTGCCTTTTCTTATGGCACGGCATTGAATATTCAACGACCTTGCGTTGCTGGGCCCTCCTCCTTCTCCTCCTTTCCTCGTGCTGCTTTTATACTCTCTCAAATACATTTGTTAAGTTAGCTGCGTGCAGTATTTTGCATTCCCCCTCCACTCCCTCGCTCTAGTCACGAGCGCCGCTTCCCCACCAAGACATGCGTCGCGAATCGGAGCCTTCGAGGGCTCTTGGGAACGGAATGTCGTTGCGCACCACACGTGTTGTGTAGTGGATGCCATGGGAACGTCTTCGTTACCATGTTTGTCGTGTTGTGTGGGTGGGGAGATGGGGTGAGGTTTTGTGTTTGTGGAGCTTCTCTTGGCTTGCCATTTTGCAATACTCTTTCTTTTTTTTATTGTTGTGGTGTTGTTGTTGTTTTTGGAAATTTTCTTTTTAAAACCAAAAAATAAATAAAAATAAAAATATTTATATTTTTTGAGGAAACGAAGAATCGTTTTGCTAAACATCTTTGTGGGTGTAAATATGGGTGGAGCACTTGGGTGCATGATTACGTCTTCTTAAGCAATGGAATCTATGGTCATGGTTTTGACATTTAAAGCGGACACTTCATGGTATGTACTTTTGTTTCATTTGGGCTAAAATTGTGTAGTTATTTTTGGAGCAGATGTTATTTTTTTGTGAAATGATGTATTTGGAAATGAATTTAGTCACATGATTTCGTTTGATGATTATTTAATCATTGTTGTTGTCATGTGAGCTTATGGTGTTCCAGATCATGGTGCTAGAAAAAATACGAGATTTGAATTGTTTTAAGGAACAACTTTCCAATCATTTTGCAGTCATTTTTTATCCAAGTGAACTATATGATAACGTATAACACAAGCAGGAGAACCATTTGGTGCTATGAATAGTTGGACACTTTGTAGTTGAGTTGAATTGAAACAAGTAAGGTGTTGAATTATAATTATGGGACTTTATCTCAGGCACTACTTGGCTACCAAGCTTTTTGTTCCAGTGTATTAATCAGGTGCTGCTAACAGTCATTACATTCAATAAAGACCTTGTAACTGAAAATAATAACAAATTATCTGTATGTCCAATGTGTGCATGATTTTTTTTGTTTTTTTACATTTTTTTTTTTTTTTTTTTTTTTTTTTTTTTGTTGTTGTTGTTGTAGTTGTAGTTGTAGTTGTTGCTTTTAATTTGCATTACATTGATTGTATCTAATATGAAATTAATACTGAATTTTAAATCATTCAGAGAATGAATGCATTAAAGGATGACTCAATGTATTTTATTCTCATTTTACATTATATGTCTATAAGTAGCATGTACAAAAATTAACATATACATAGATTTAAACAATGCATTGTTATATGCTACTTGTTCCAATTTTTGTTTTAATTTTTTAATTTTTTAATTTTTTTCCCATCTTGTTTAGAATCACTGACCTATATCTTGTATTTATTTTCTGAAGTTAAGAATCACACAGATTAATAAAATTCACCCAAATTTAAAAATAAATAAATAAATAAATAAATTGTAAGCATGGGTTCACAAAAAGATTCAACATGTCAAGGGATAGGCATTATAAATGCTCACATTTATACAAGAAGGAGAAAAAAACATTGATTGAACGAGAGGTTGTAATTGCAACAATTATTAATGGTTTTATTTTATTTTATTTCAGGTTAAAATTTCAGAACTATTAAAATCGTAAGCATAAATGCACGAAAATGAGTAAATAAATATTCTTCATTTTTCAAAAGCACACTTTTCTCCAAATTATCTAGAAATGACGTATAAAAAACATTAAAAAATAGAAAATAGAAAATAGAAATCTTATTACAAGAAAGTCACCATCCAAGTCTATCACAAAATACAGAATAAACAAGTCAAGGATGTGGAAAAGCACAAAGGATCATGTGTTTGAGTAATCCAATGTGTTAAAAAAATCAATAAACTTCATGTTGTCCTAATCGACGAAGAATACAATACACTGTTTCATTATATACTAAAGAGAGCAACACAAAGACAAATTGTGGGGATGCCAAGAGCACAATCCTAAAAAGATTCAACAACCCATGTTTCTTTTCAAAGTCAACCACTATTTGACAAATCGACCGTGTCACGAGGCAAAGAATATTTACTTCCTCGGAGGCATGTCAGTCATGACATGTGTCTGCTGTATAAGTATTTATTTATTTATTTTTCTGCCGCTTGGATTCAAATCTGTAGCATTTTGTGGTAGAAGCCCTGCAACTTTTTAAGTAAATTTTTTCACAGAGGGGATCCATTCCCATGATAGAGACAGAGAAATCATTTGCCATACAAGTTGAATGGCATCTTTAAGTTGTTCCCACAAAATCTTCCATTTGGTATATATATATATATATATATATATATGATAAATAAGGTAGAGAAAACTAACAAAACAAGCCTAAGTTTATGTTATATTTTATTTTGTTTCATTGCACGAGATTAATATTAAAAACTAGCTAGTTTCTAAGGGATTTTAGGGCAGATATATTTTCAGTTGAATTTTTACTTGCATAGACAACCAATTTGGCTGATAATAATTAAGACAGTATGTTCAGAATACATTTCTTATACATAAAATTTAAATTCAAACAAACAAATTACCAACATAAAGGACAAGATATAAAAAACAATGATTTGTACATAGTTTTCTAATGCTTGCCATCTAGTAATAAAACAAAACCTTGGATATGAACATTTAATTAACAAATTCTTTTTCAGGTAACTTTGGCAAGCCTAAGGAACAGCAACAAGTCCAGTTTGACACGTCAGAACACATCATTAAATCAATTGCACCATCAAAAAATAATTCAAATTTATGGTCGAATCAAACAAGATAAAATCTTCAAAAGGTAGAGTGAAGTATAAGTTTATCTACATTTGTATATTTATTTATTGCATTTTTTACATGAAGAATATGGAATCACACATCAATATGAAAATTTCAAATTTTTTTTTCTACCTCATCAAACATCCAAGTCGACTTCATTATCTCGTGTCTTCAATATAATATCTTATAATTTTATATTAAACCGCAACTAGATATGGGTTATAAAAAAATCTTACTGTCTAAGTTAGTTGTATTTGCATGTCATTATGTGCATCACAAAGTATCGGATTATAATACGCTGTCTATGCACCTTAAATCCCAATTATTTACTAAGTTTATTGTCAAATTCTTTGAAACCGAATCAAAAACTATGAGGGGGGTTCATTTCGTAAGAGAATGGGAAATCAAACACGAGGCACCGTCAGTTTTCTAGTTAGCAATTAAAAACATATGCCAATTGGGGGAGACATGTCAAAGTGTCACACCCTTTCAAAAGCACAGTCAAACTTCAGCTTCTTCACAAGCCTCATTAATTAATCAATGTGGTGGCTATAACTCTACTTTTTGTATTCTTCTGGCTTTTAATGCCTTTTTGTCTTCCACCTTTTACGTTTATCCCCGCCCTGCTGCTCATTACTCCCCTTGCCGGCCCTCATCCATCCACACCATTCATCCATTTGTCATATTCATTCATCCAGTCAACCTGCCTCCTTTAGAGATTCCTATGACTCGAATCCTATTCTATGAGCTCACCTTCAATCAGGCCATCATGAAATCCATTACTTTGTTGGTTCATTTGGTTGGAAAGTAATTAATGAGGGAACAATTAATTCCAATTAAAAACAAAACATGATGGGATATCAAGAATGATTTGAAGAGATTGATTTTTATGCTTCTCCATCCACTTTATGGGTGTTGCTGCTTACTACACCTTTTGTGCCAATATATGTCTATAAACAACAATGTTTAATTTAAGACATGATTTTGAATTTTAAATCTTGGACTCGGTGCTTTACAAGTAGTGTGTGTGTGCATGTTTGCACACATGGGTACAAATCAAAAATTGTAATTTGAACTTGTACTCTACATAATGTTCTTGTTGCACATGTCTTACTTGAATAACAAACAACATGTGTATTTCATGTTTCCTTTAGTGGGTGATTTATGTTGTTGATTACATGAATATTCTGAATTTTGAAGTAGGAAAGTGATGGTTGTCTTTTGCTCTACACTCTTAAAAATCCACATAATTGAATAGAATTCACATAAACATCATAAAAAAATAGTAGTAAATGAAATGCATGTGTTTATTAACATTCCTTTTCCATAATTAAACAATGCTTACAGAAATATATACCTTGTACCTGATCAATACATAATTCAAGAGAAAGTGCAATAAAATGCAAAATATTTACAACTGAAGCACATTTTAACCACATTCATTCATATATTACATAACTCACTTAATATTTTGAAAGGTCATGTCATTCAAAAAAAAAGAAAAAAGAAAATCAACCATGTGTACATTGTTAAATTTTGATTAGATACCTATTTTCTAATTTATATCCAGGTATTTGTATTAAGAAACATTTTTCAACCATCTTACTGAACATCAGAGACATACTTGATGTAATCAAACATTGTTTTAAAATTCAATGCAGAATCTGTTTTTAGAAAATTTAATTGGTGGATAATTTTTAAATTTTAGTTTTTAAAAAATAGTCATAAATATAATTACTGTAAATCATTTCTCAAAACATTTGTACGGTTTTTATGAATAAGATTGATATTATACGTTGGACAAAGATTACATAGTTTTCATATAAAGTTGTAGAGAGAAAGCTAAATGGTTTAATACTTTATATTTTGTATAGATGCATGCTTCTGAAATATTAAATACACATTTAAGCATGTTTTAGTTAAATTTGATGTTGGATTTCATGTATACTTGTAAATTTAGTAACGGCAATGATAGAAATAATACTTTAGCTAACCATACCCTTGTAGTAAACAATCTTTCACATCAAACTATTATTATTTTTTTATTTTTTTACTTTTATTTTTGAAACTATGGGGTTATTTTTCTTCCACATATATTTACTTTGTAGTGAATATAAGTTCTCTCTATATACATATATATTAATTATTAAATAGAGATACAATATTTATTAGCATTTCGCAAAAATTCATGTTAAAAAAAATATTTTCTTGATAATTAGTTAGTTTAGAATTAACTAAAGAGTAATAAAAATTTTAAAATATTTTAATGATGATCATTTCTGTGTTCTACTGTAGAGAAAATGAAAAGAAAAAATATTAATGGGACTTGAGATCAGTCCAAAGAATAATAGATGTATTTTTATTTCTCCTAAATGCATTTTTTAAAATTTTGTAATCTTAAAATATAATATGCAATGTCTTTGTTTGAGATATAATTTTAAAACAACTTAAAACTTTATTTTAAACTTTTCATATAGTTCTGTTTCTTAGCAATTATAAAGTTTTCTGCAAATTGTTTTTACAATCAACTCCTTGCACATTTTATATGTTACTTTTCAATTGTAATTTTTTTTACAAGTATATGAGTTATTTCAATGAGTAAAGTAAATTGATACTTATCAAATATATACCAAAGATAGGTATATGTTTAAAATAGAAATATGGTTTTAAAAATTTAAAACTGTTGTTGTATTGCATAGCTTTGATTTAAATAGACGAATGGAATAATTTTGTCGAGAAATGAAAACATAAAAAGTATAATGAGTTGAAGGTTTTGAATTAGAAAAGAGCATATTTGATAAAATATTGAGATAAAAATTACACACCAATATAATTTAGTCAATTTAATTAATTTTCTGATATTTTAAAAATATTATACTCCAGAATTTTAGGAATTTTAATGAAAAAATTATCACATTTCTGTTGAATTTATGTGTTGGTAAAAATATTTTAAAATTATTAAAAATGGAAAGTCAGTAAAATATAACTTGTACATTATTTTGTTTTGTGTAGTGATGCAGCTATTATGCCATAGTTATCATCATTATTAACATCAATGCTTTATTATTTTTATTTTTATGTGGTATGTTGATCCGTTGTTTCACATAAAGATGTTAGTTATTGTACATGATTTATATCCAAAATATCAATGATTGTAATTTAGATTTCTGATATGATCTTACAAATCCAATTGTTTTTTCCCAACTCACTTAAACTGGTGCAAACCATACAATATGTTGGCATAATCATGTAAATAAACGACAGCCACATCTTTTATTGATTCTAATTTTGTTGAGTAAAGACTAACAGTTACCTTCTGGCTCATTAAAGCCCAATGGCCTCCAAAGCCATTTTTACAGTTGAAGATTACTTGTACTACATTTTACTAAAAATAGCGTCATTATAATATAAAATACTACAGAGACTTGAAATAAAAATCCTTAAGAAAACCCATGTAAAATAAAAATGAAAAGTAAAATAATATATATATATATATACATAAAAGAAAAATAAAAGAGTATCAAATAAAAATTAGACCACTTTTATTTGCGCGTGTGTCTAAACCCCACAATTTTATGATTCTTCATTTATTCTGTTGTACATGTAACCTCTACAATTGACCACAAGCCTAAGTGAACACACTTAAATGCTGGTGGAATACCTTTGTCATGAAACGGAATGCACATTGGGATGCAAAGTGGCCAAAACACACACAGCTTACAAATTTCGTCTGAAAGGTGGGGTCACTGCACTAAAACGGTGCTTCACTGCAAGCACAACCATTTCAACAAGCAGGATGAAGGAAAGCCGAGAACGAGTATGACGCATTCAGAATAACAATCGGAAGCAGGGATTGTTGTGTTAAGAAGCTAAACAAGATATATGGTTGCCGACTGATCACTACAATCTCTACTAAGTTCCCTGCTCATGTACCACTTAATGCTAAGCACATTGATACATGAGGTAATCGTTGTACAAGCCTGACTTGAGTACACGTTGAGCAATATTGATGTAACAAATTCGTGGATGAGCTTGGTGGTTACCTGATCAGCATTGATCTCTTAGCGAAGAGATCAGTGTTCCAGAAACACTCAGGCTGGTTTGTGTGCAAACTTTCTCCAAGATTTGATAGGCTTCATGTCGCCCTCAGTTAACTCGAAGCTGATCAGGTAGGACTTCTCCTTCAGTCAATTCAGCTTTTATGTCACTTTCTACGGCATTGCACTGAATTCCCCACCGAAGCCGCAACTCGAGTGGGTCGTCTCTTTCATGCCTCGCAATTCTCTGCAGAATAAGATCGTCCAGTACGGATGTGAAAGTAAACCATTCGATGTTGGCAGCACTCCGCCCAAGGACTTGGGTACGGCTACTAAGGGTCTATGCATGAAACAAAAAAGTTACAAGAAAATCGCATTGGAAGCAAAGACAGGTTTGAATCCGGGTCACGGCTGGCATGACTTTTGAGTATGCGAAGTAAACCCGTGTAGAATTGAAACTTCAAAAGAAGGTAGATGATTAAACTGATACTAACGCTCTGGACTAGGTCAACAGGCACAAGATTCTCCATCGTTTGTCAAGTGATCCAAGTGGAGATGGTCACGTAGATGCCGAGAATCCCACCATTTTTTCATTTACTGATTCTGATGTCCATTCCTAGAAATGTAAAAATTCTGGCCCTTCGTCAAAGCTTTACTGATAAGCAAGCATGATAGGTATACAACCAACAAGTTAACAGTTGAGGCATCCAAGAGTAGACGTAGAGATCACAAGTCTGTCATGCAAAATGAGTGAACCGAATAAAATCCAAGTACTCAAGCTGAAGGTTCTCAGAAATATTCTCGCATGCTTCCCTGATATGGCCGTCATCACTATTTCAGAGCTGTCACAAGCAAAGAGTGAAAGTGAAATCCATGTGAGTGATTCTTAAAGATTTAAAAGATGTGAAATATCCTTTATAACTAAGTGGAGATGACATTGTTAATGATAGGATCACTGACTTTAGATGACTCTAGCATAATCATGACAGCGTTCATCTGACTATACACTGAAAAGGGGAAGAGATGAGAATCGCCTCACTGTTAATGACAATTCCTCTTGTTTGAGTAGTCACTATTTGAAGGCATCACTAAGAACAGCTGCTTTTTCCTCTGTTTTTCTTGCCGTAAAGAGCTGCACAACGTTTAAAACTTTCCAAATCCACATCTCAAACAAACCAAATAGCTACTCCAAAACCAAGTTAGTTGCTTCAAATGCGGCAACAGCGTCCACCTAAGGTGGATTAGGTTTCATGTGATCGACCTCCGACAGTTAAGACTAATCGCTTCAATTTAAACGAGGTCTAAAAAGAGGATCTACCCAACAAGAAAGATGACAGTGGCCAAGCTTTATTGCTTACGAATGACGCATGTAATCTCAGCTTCAGCACGTCTGCTCCTGGAGTCTAACAATGGCATCGCGTCCCATCGTTGAGTTCAAAGCCTTCTTGCTCTATGTATCATGCTTCTGTGTCGCAGGAATGCAGCCAAGTCAAGGTAAAAACACACACCCGATGCTTAAAGTAGGGCACCGTCACAGCTAAATTTGCATCCACAAGAAATGCAGGATCCTTCTTTTGAGATGAAAAATAGCCTCGACACACAACCCGTTTAGGATAAACAAGAAGTAACTAAAAAGATGAATTGATTCACTCTAAAAGTATCGCATCCTCCAGTTGTAGAGAGCAAACGAGCTTCAATTTGGCTAAATCTAAAACTACACATGCATAAAGTTCACTCTTGTCTTTAGAAATGTTGAATGCTGAACATGCCTACATGGAGGCCACCTTAGCGCTTCAAGAAATGAGTAGGCCAAATGAAATGCAAGCAAGGTTAACTGGTAATTACCTCCTCTTCTCACTGCATGCCGGCATGCTTATCAACTTCCTCAAAGTTGCAGTAACGCACAACTTATGTCAAACGAGCTATGGAACCATTAATCAAAATCCACCCATGAGCACAAAATCAACTGTATCTCTAAAATTTGACAAATCTGTCAGCAATTCTGTCAAACACAGAATTTTCACTGAGCTACACCGGACTTTCGACCCTCGAAAGATCTAAACATTCTGAAACCAAACTTATGCGAGTAACATTCTGCATTTTTCATGCTCCCACGCGTAGTTCAAACTCGCCCACAACCCAAAACAAAGTCAATTGCGACCCAATGCATTCAACGAGGCCAAATCAAAATTGAAACCGGGAAGACAACCCACAGCAGTTCAAACATTCGATTTCTCCCACCAAATTGAAACCCACAGTACCAGCACCGAAGCATCTCAAAAACCCCCATTACGAATAACCATCCTGCACCCACCACATCCTAACCCGGCCAGAGCTGAAACTCCTCCGTGCGCACTCAACAACGAGCGAACGACGAGCTCACCTGCTTCGGATTCAATGCTGATAACAAAGTCACGAACGCTGCAACTCTGGTCGCAGTCTCAGCAGACCACGCCTGATCTAATGGCTCTAGAAACAACAAAAAGAACTTCTACAAACGAGGAAATAGGGAGCCGTAAATTTAGCATTCGCAATTGGGTGCAACACAATGTGTGTCCGTGGTTGCGAAATTCCGATGGACTTGGTGGGCAATCTCCACCAGCGCCATCGCTCCTTTCCTCTTCGTTGCGTCTTCTTCACACCCCCATGCTCGCCACAGTGGTAACACATTCATCATGTTTTCATTCATCTTAGTTCATTCATCAAGAAAGGTTCATTCTTCCGTATCCGTTTGTGTGTGGATCGTTCATCCAAGCTCATTTTGTGGAGTCTCATGTTGTATTTAATCTGTTTAGAGCATTAAATGTAGCCAGCGCTCTCCATACTATTTATTGTAGTTTACAGGAAATACTGAAGCTACAATGTTTCAAATGTAGTGAGGAGAAACTGTTTATCTTCTTCCCTTCTTTTTGTATAAGTGAGATAATTCTATCAATAAACTCACTTTAGTGTCTATGTATTTTTACAAATGTGTGTGCATATTGCTTCTAGCTACTATTGTCTCTCTTTCTAAAACATTCTCAACATGTTATCAACACGATTGCTCTTATGTACTAGTCTTGACTCTTAAAAACTTATGTGCACTTTATCCTTCATTTTCTCATCAAATTTTTTCCTATCCTACTGCTACTATTGCTATCTTGTGTTGTTGTTGCTACTGTTGTTGTCCTATGTTGTTGTTGCTACCATTGCTATAATGAGTTGCCACTGCTCTTGAGTTTCTATTATTATTGTTGTTGTTGTTGTGTTGTTCTTGCTATTGCTATTGTACTGACTTACTATTGTGTTATTATATTGCTGCCAAATTATTGCACCCTATTGCCAATTACAACATCTTACCACTAATTGCCACATCTTGCTACCGTCTGCCATCGATTGCCATATCCTACCATTGATTTCCGTACTTTGTCATTGTTTGCCACTAACTACCACACCTTACTACCATCTGTCACTGACTACTGTGCTCTGTTACTATCTATTGTAGATTCTTATTTTTGTAAAAAAAAAAAAAAAAAAAAAAAAAAAAAAATCCTCAAATTTTTAATATTTTTGATTTTAAGTTTCAACTTTATCATTTTATTTGGCTTTACATTTTAAGGTACATTTTACTCAACCTTTTCTACTTGATCTTGTATTTTTTGTTCATAAATTTATTTATAATGAATGCTTCAATATCTTCAACTATATCTACTATGTTTTTGATTGTCACCACTACATCCCAACATTTTCAAGTCTTTCTATTTCTACCATTGGCTGCTGATGGAAACAATTATCTATTATGGATAAAAATAGAAAAAAATAAATTTATTTATAGAACAACTCTTAGATGTAATTTTGTTTGAAAAATCTTCTACTATAAGTACTTCAATTCCTCTTGCTATTTATTGGAAAATACTTCTTTTTCTTCAACTTCATCTTATACATACATTGCAACATCAATATTTGGAAATAAAAGATTCAGTCAAGCTCTGGGAGAATCTTAAATCCAAGTTTAATCATCATAAGACCATTTTCTTTCTACGTGCATGATTAGATACATTTATGTGTCTTGGATTTTATAAATTTAAATGCTTTCAATAGTGAAATATATCGTATTGTCTCATAACTACAATTATATGGATAAAGCATCTTTGAAGAAGAAATGATTGAAAAAACTCTCTCTACATTTCTTCCTCCATCTGTTGTGCTTGTACAACAATATAAAAAGATGAAATTTTAGAATCATCCTAAACTCATGTCCTATTGCAAAGAAATAAAATGAGCTATTCTTGTATAATGCAAAAGTTTGTCCTATTAGAACCACGATTCCAAAAATTCATGCACTTAATATTCTGAAGTCTTAGAAAAAAATATAAAAATATGAAAAAAATGCTCATAAGTACGAAATTAATCATAGTCATGACCATTTCCACCTATATGAAAAGAATAAATATTCTATAACTAATTATAGTAGAAAAAAAATCAAAGATGCATTCTTGCCATAAATATAGAATGTTTGGATATTTGGCACTTGCGTGCCATACTTCAAAATACTTTATTAAAATATTCCAAAAAAATAAGAAACTTTGAATTGCGGCTTATAAAGTTTATACCATGGATGCATCCATAGATTCAATTGGTGTTGATGATTTAGAGGCTTATCTGAATGAAAAAACCTTTAATGATAAGTCAAATGATGCACTCATTGATTTTGCAATAACATATACTATCTTATGGGATAGACAATTTTTTATTGCAAAATCTTCAACCTAATAAACTAGAAATTTGATGACTATGGCTGGAACAAATACATTTTGTTTGTAAGAGGGAATAGCGAAGGTAAAATTACATGTGGACTCTATCATAAAATATAACTATAGAACATTTGCATCCTTAGCACCTTAGAATTTGATCAGCTACCAAAATATGTGTGCCAATGGTTATCACCCATCAATTAAAATTCTAGATAGATGAGAGGTTTTGGTTCTTGAATAGAATCATAAAGATATAGAAAAAACCTTTATTGGAACAAATGGTGTATATTGGATTACAATTTGGCCTCCCATTGTATTTAATTTTGCATCATCTATCACAAAGAGTTGCATTTTTCTTTGGCATGGATAATTTGGACATCCATGATTTATATTATTTTGGAAGATAATTCCATGTATAATTGAGCATAATTTAAGACTTGCAGATACAAATTCTATGGAATTTTGTCATGCATGTATGTAAGGTAAGATGATTGCTCGACCTTCAATTTAAAAACTTCAATGAGAATTACTACTAATGCTTGAAAAATTGCATGGTGATATTTGTGGTCCTATTAATCTAATTTCTGGATCATTTTATACTTTTTGGTTGTTATTGATGCATCAAGCAAATAATCACTTATTTCATTATTATTGATCCAAAACATGGTCTTTGCTAATCTTATATTTATACTTATTCATTTCTAAGTATATTTTCTTGATTATCCTATCAAAACATTATGTATGGATAATACAAAAGAATTTGCATCAAAGTCTTTTGAAGACTATTGTATTATAATAAAAATTGAGTTGACATATTATGTTATATATAAATATGCTAAAAATAGGCTTATAGAGTCATTCATAGAACATATACAACTCATTACTCTACTACTTCTTCTTCAGGAAAATTTACCTACATCTATATGGGATCATGCAATTTTGTATGTTGTAGCATTAATATGCCTCCATCCTTCTTTTATTGAAATTATTACATCTTAAGATCTCATTTCAGGTTGTGTTTCAAATATATTTCACATACGGATGTTTGGTAGTTGTGCTTGGATTCTAGTACTAGAACCTCAATAGCGTATCATTGAATCTCATCAACAAGAGGGCATATATGTTGGATTTGACTCATCAAGCATTATTCATATAATTGATCCATTAATTGGCACATTATTATGTGCATGTTTTCAAAATTGCCATTTTGAAGAGAACATATTTTTATCTCTTTGAGAAGGAGTATTTAATCAATAAAGAAATACAATACTTGTATTTGAAGTACCAAAAATATTTACAATGAATCTTGATCCTACAACATCTTTGGTTGAAACTGAAGTTATTAAGATTTTGTATCTAAAATGGATTGTAGATGAAATATCTTATGGATTCAATGATGTACGTCAAATTACAAGAATTTCAATTTATGAGGCTCAGAATGAATATGATCATATTGCAATACTTCTAATTAATATACCTCAGGTTAACAACAACAGATTTGTGGACTACATAAGTAACTACGAAAGAAAAAAGCTATAACATATGGTAATTCTGATATTTTTTTGTGGAAGTTCATACTAAACTTACAAGACTATTAATTAATGACAATATATCCATACACATTATACCTTCACTTCATATAAGAAAAAATCTTGAAATTAAGAGGAATAAAATTGAATTGAGTACAAAATTATCTTTTCTATATTCTGCTACTAACAACATTTAAAATAGACTATCTATTATAAAAAATGAATCATTTGCATTCATGATTGCAAAAGCTCTTTCTTATAAGAAAGAAGATCGTGAATCTCAAACCATCTAAAAAGTAATGTGTCACTCTAACTAGTTAAAATAAAAAAATTTCATTAAGAAAGAATATACTTCTTTGCATAAAAAAAATTCTTTGATTCAATTGTGGATACTCTTACACATTGCTTTATCAAATATAAGATGATATTAGTATGCAATTGAAATGATAAAGGTCAAATAATCCATTATAAAGCATGTCTTGTTGCCCAAAGATTTATCCAAAGATTTGGCATTGATTACAAATCTATACATTTTTCAGTCATGGATTCAATTACATTTTGATATATTATTAGAATTGTAATCCATGCTACTTTTGAAATGCATGTCATGGATGTAATAAGTGCATATCTATATGGTTTTCTTAATACAAATATTTATATAAAAATTCTATGTGGTTTGAAAACAAAAACTCTAAATGCACTTGCTCTAGGACGATATTGTGGTATTAAATTACATAAGACCATGTGTGGTCTAAAATAATCTAGACGCTTGTAATACCAATGTCTTTAAGATTATTTAATGACAAATAAATTACAAATGATCAATTAATTCTTTGTTTATTTATCAAACAAGATAAAAATAGTTTTGTAATCATCACTATATAAGTTGATGTTTTTAACTTAGTGGATAGTAGATCTACATGTGTTGCAACTATTAATCTACTTCTCCATAAATTTGAGATAAAAATGCTAAAAAAAATAATTTTTTGCATTGGTCTTCAGATTATGTATTTTATAGATGGTAGCATTTTTTTTTCTATCAACTAACGTATATTAAACAAATCTTACAAAGATTCAATATGATTGATGCTTATCCATTATCAACACCAATAGTTGGACATGGTCATGATGGTCATGATCCATATTATTTGTACAAGGAGGAAGATGTAATATTGGGAGATTAATATCCATACCTCATAACAATTGGAATACTTTATATTTAGTCACATCTATAAGATCAGATATTACATTTCTTGTTAGTGTTCCTATAAGATATAATGCAAGTCCAATACTACGACATTGGAATAACATCAAATATTTACTACATTATTTAAAAAGTATTAAAATTTTGAGATTATAATATACA